ACACACACACACACACACACACACACACACACATGCACAGACATGCATACTGCATTGGTGCTCTTCGCTCCGTGAACAACCTGTATGATATATTAGAAGGGAGACTTCCTGTGATCCCTTTTAACGAGCTGTGATTTTGGCTAAACTTATTCTTGGATATTTTTAATAATCCTGAAATAATTTTTAACAGTTTATCTTGTAAATGGAAAAGAGATGGTAATCAAATTATTGAATCTCTAAACTGAACTGTGTCCTTTAATTTTTGATTGATTGTCTAAACTTTTGTAGTTCTGATCGAAATTTGAAACCACTTTGATTATTTAACTAACATTCAACAGATAGTAAGTGCCAGATTTAAATAGCCAAAAAAGATTTAGGATAAAAATGGAGGAATAAATTTACTTTTAGATTAAAGTATATTTTTCAGTACAAGCAACTATGAACTATATCTCCTCCTAATTTATTCAAATTAAAATACCAAAATATCAACAAGTGAAGATAATGGAAGCTATTGCTAACCAGCTATTTCGTAAGTTATCCGATAATTTAACTCATAAAATGGATCGGAAAGAGGACAATTGTTCGGTTGATCATTCCGTTCATCGTTATTGCTCTTTCTATTCCCATTGGGACCACCGCATGAACCTCTCTTCTTTGCTTCCGCATTTCACTTTCAGGCTAATGTGCTGTGAAATGTGTACTCGGCAAATAAATAAGTAAAGACTAACCATTGCCATATCACATCTTCTCATCTTCAAGATTCTATCACTCGAAATTAATCATTGCCGTGTTATTCGATTCGAATAGTAACTCTGTCGCTAATCCCAATGGAATACAAATTTGCGCTTCTCTTCGACTGCTATCGTTGATGAGATTTTTGAATTTCATCAGTGTTATAGGCCTTCAAAAAGAAGCCAAAACTGCTAGCCTGTCAATTTAATTGGCTTACTTAGCCACTTTTCAAAATTTTAGTGGTCATTACTGGAAGTCATAATGATTAAGAATGAAGAATTTTTGTTTAAGATGTTTGAAACAGTCATAAAAATAAATATAAATTTTCTTCCGAATGAAAGAATGAAATCTCATTTCTTTCGAAGAATAATTGCTCAAAAATTCATGATATACTTTCAGAGTCTTTTATTCATTTTGAAAATATTTTCAATTTTTAACAATTTCAATTCATTTTAAAAATGTCTTTCTGAAAAATGAATTTCTTTTTGAATTAATAATTTTTTGCAATTATCCAATTGTTCATGTTTTATTCTAATGGATATTTTTCATTCGTGCATAATTCATTACTTGACAAGATAGTCAAAAAAGTTCATCATTCTGAAGTAGTCCTTACTCACAGACAATTCATTATAGCTAAGACCGAAATAATAATAATCTATTTTAGGAATTCATTTATCCTATATAGAAGTTGTATAAATTTTCTGATAGTAATGATGGATTCAGATTCTTTTGTGGTAATGAGTTTGAAAAAAAGAAAAGAAGTGCAATTGTTACTTAATGAAAACATAATTTACATCAATCGTTATTAGGACGCAAAATTTTAATACTTAATTTTTTAAAATCATTTATGTTTACCTTTAGAAACGATTGTTTTTAGTCAACATCGCTCCATCTCTTCATATTTTAAATTAATGCGAAAAAAAGATTTACCGCATTTTAATCATTAAAAGATTATTTAATATAGTTAATAATTCAATGACAAGTGTATAAAAGATTGGTTGGAATAAAAGTTGGAATAAAATTTCTTAATGCTAAGGCTTTTCCAACCTATGTCTCCAAGACTCAAGCAATATAACGCTTGAGTGACATTTAAGCTTAGCAGAATGTATTTGAAGTTTATGCTTGATCAAACAATAAACGAATGAGTAAAATCTAAGCGGCGATTGCTTTCAATGTTTGACGTTTGATAGCTTCTAAGCGCTTTTGGACACTCTTCTGAATGATGAAAATAATTGGCTTTTGGCAGGTGAGCTCACTGAGAGGCGGTAATTGTTTAATTTAGTCAACGATGCATCCCAGCAAATGTTATTCTTCGACGTTAATAATATTCACTTTATCTTATGTCGGAAATTTATTGAAATTATGGAATTTCGTATAATATACAAATCAAAATGGATTCAGCATTTATGTTGACAGTTAAAAGTCCAACAAAGCTATATTAGCCACTTGATAATTGCTAATAAAAAAATGAATACTTGGCAATAAGGTCTATTCAATTATTTGTGAAATAAAAAATTACAATATGGCTCATTTAGTTATTTGTACAAAATACAATATGGCTTATTTACTTACTTGTCTAACAACAGAATGCAATATGGCCTTTTTGTTATTTGCATAATAACAATAACATTATTTGCACAACAACAATGCAAAAAGGCGCTGTATATGAATGCTGAATTAAATTAATGCAATAATTTTTCATTCCTTTCACATTAAAATGCCAAGTTCGTATGAGATTTCATGAAGTTAGTCCTTTTCAATTTATTTTTTAAATTAAAGCCTCTGTCGGGTTAAATTTCAATGAAATAGCCTGGATGTGTTTACAGGCGAAAAGCCAATCTAAAAATGTCTCGACAAATAATTTGCATTGATCCTATCGATCAAATAATGAAAAATCTAATTCTATATATATATATGAAGGATCCGTTCAACTTTCTTCTTGAAAATTACATTGAGAGCATTTTTGTTCAGCAATCACACTATTCCAAATTGCTTTTAATTGTAGCCAAACACCGTCCATTGTTGGTCGCTCATTGACCTTTGTGTGCCAGCAACGTCTCATTAACTTTATAACCTTCCGTGGTAACTCGGTATTATGCGTTTCTGTAACTTATGCAATTTCTTTATTAGAACTAAAATGTCTAAAAAATATGAATTACAAAAGAAAACCAATGGATTCTAGTCAGATTATTACTTGCATCTCGCAATCGTTGAAAAGGTTAGAGAAATAAAATTAAAAAATTTATAAACATTGATTATTTAATGATGATATTTTTATTCTTTTAAATGGAAAATACTTTAACGGAAGAATAAATATAATGAATCATATCAAAATCATTTTTGATAACTGATAAGATACTGACTAGGTCGTATTTTATATCCAGCTATCAATTTAGTTCGAATTTCATCAGAATTCATCGAAAAGTACGGTAGATTTCCGGTGAAAATTTCGTAAAGTGTAATACCAAATGCAAAAACATCGGTAGCTTCTGTTAGTTGTTTCGTTTGGAATACTTCTGGTGCAAGCCAACGAATATTTATCGGTTCTTTGGGATTCACTTTTTTAGTCCTCAAAAATTGTCTCTTCGAAAAGATGAATGTTTCATCCATTCAATACATCATCAATAAATAAATTCTTAAAAATGAGAAGGCTTCAGGCGACTTACTTTCCAATATGGGACTCACGATAATCACCCAAGTAGTATTTGTAACCATAATGGGAATGATAACTGATAATCTTCGAACTATTACTAATCATTATTTTCCTTACAAATATATTTCTAGCTCCAATATCGCAATGCAGCAATCCGAGAAAGTGCATATCGGATAAAGCTTGCGCTATTGTCTGTGCAATCTAAAGAAATTATGATATTTAATATCAATAAAACATAGAGTTTCACAATAAATATTTAAGGACGAAAATGCCAAAGAATGAACTTACTTTCAATTTATCCATAAAAGTAAGTTTTGACCCCATCCGTTGCGCAAAATCCGGATAGGAGCCATAGTTCATAAAAGGATAAATAATCATATACGGTGATTGAAAAACCCGTACGGATTGCACTGCTATCACCGAATCAGTGGACACGAATTGGCGCAATAAATTCGAAATATGTAATTCCTTAAACCGACGTACTGATTTGATTGAACTAAGTGAAGTATTAATTTAGAATATCAAACTTTATGTATAAATCATTTTCATATCTATTATCATGAAATAAATTTTCCTGTTATTTCAAAAAAAAGAAATTCAAAAGTGTGAAAATTTTTAGATTATACCCGACAGATATTATTGAGTTCATTGTGATCATATTTGTGCATTACTTTAATTACAACTCGTTCACATTTGTTTAATGTGCGCAAACTACCAAGAAAACACTGTAATAAATTACCATAAATATTTTAAAATTTTCGAATAGGAAATTTTTTAATTGAAAAATGATTGTTTCTTAATTCTAAAATGATCCAAGTTGATCTGAGACTGATATTTGGTAAAATGAAATTATCAGACAAACATTAGTATCCTCTGAGTCTAATTAAAAAATTATGAACGATATTTCATTTAATTAACAAACTGATTGACTCCGCAATATTGTTCATTACAGCAGGCATGTTGAGATTTTTCAATGGTGGAATTAATTTTAATGCGTAGTATTAATTAATAAAAAGCGAGAAGTCATAAATTAGTTCAGTTTCGAGTAATGAACAAATTTTTCTCGATTGCTGTCGATTGATTGATTAACTGATACAAGTATGGAATCATTTGACAGCGTTGATTTTTCTTGACATCAAAAATTCATCAATTACATCAGCAATTGTCCCTTTCGAGATGAGACTCTCTGTTTTGATGATATCATTCTCTCTCAGGAATAATCCTGAGAAGCTATAATCATCTTCATCTTCCACATTTGAATTGATAAAATGGCGTAATATCACGTTTGTTCTCAGTATTGCCGATAATACATTCATCTGTAAAATGCGTTTTTGGAGGAAGACTAATTGAACTTTGAAAATTAATTTTTCTTTAGGTTAGATAAGTAACTCAGTTTACTCACAGGACTCCGAATGCATTTCTGAATTAATCTGGCTATAGAAACAGCCAACGGATAAATGGAATTTTCGAAAGTATAAGTTCGACAAAATTTCAGAATCAATAAATGACATTTTTCATGCCTTTCAGACATAACTGAGAATCGGAAAATATCATCATGTGTGCGAGAAATCACATAATCACCTAAAATAAATTATTTTATGAGCTATTTGTATAAAAATTTATAAAAATTTACGATAAATTCATGGAGAAGCGATGAATTTACAACAAAGCTTTTCTTTTTGCGCACTAATCCCAGTGATAAATTTAGGTTTTATAAATTCTATAGTATTTTTTCATTTGAATTTTTTGATATCATGGAGAAAAATTGCACTCATTCCTTTCAACTTCAGCACCTGGTTTCTTGAGCAATCGCTCTTCGATGAACATTTCAGAAAGTCGTCCAAAATAGTTTTTTTTCTTCAGTTGTAATTCATCGCCGGAACAGTCATTCTGCTCACTCTACATAATTAATATTAATTAATTAAATTGAAATTACAATTTTCATCACTTGTATTTATATCAATAAGAAAATTGATTGTAAAATCTATGTATTTATATCAATAAGAAAATTGATGTAAAATCTATTCTTTACACTAAAATAGACTACAAATGATAAGATATGGATTTTAATATCATCAGGTATTACCTAGAAAGACTCGGATGATCAGATGATGAATTAAAAAAATAGAAGAACATTTGATTTTAATTCTAATTCTCCACAACAAGAATAACTGATTCTAATCTTTCATTTTCATTAAAACTTCAGTAACGTGCTGAATGGTTTGAATCTAAACATGCAGAATTTATCGAATAATGAATTTTGACCATGATAGGATGCATTTCAAATCCCATATCGGCAATCAATAACTGAAGTCTCTGCACAGCATCATTGCAGAGAACTTCAGAAGAAGAATTGTTTCTCTTTTTAACTCTTTTTCCTGCTACAGTTTGAATTGCTGCTTCTGAGATCTGCAGATTTTCCTTTCCTTGCAACAATTTAAAGAAACATTCTGTAGAACTAAAGTGAGATTATTTTTTATTAATTGGCACGCAATGCGTATGATTAATTGTCGGATGCTACACTTACTGGTAATCAATTTGGCAAAAAATGAAACTTAACGCTACCGTTTCCATTTAATACACTGTCACTGAATGTTTAAACTAATTTGTCATAAACAAACAAGTTGTAAACAATGAATCGCAATAACTGAACTAATCCTTTTTTAGCATAATCATTAGATAAGAAATTTGAATTTCCTGAAAAACTACTAGACAAGAATAAGAGATTCTATTTTCTTCTCGTTTTTTAGATCTTTCCTTTAAAAGAATTCATTTATAATTAATTCTTTTAAATTATTGGCTGTAAAATTAGTTGTACAAATAAGTGCATGGTAAATTTTGAAATTGCTTTTTTTGAAAACTAATTGAAAATTTATTTATTATTGTTGAAACCGTTATAGTTTAAATAGTAATGTACTCTAAAATAGATAAGTTAATCTTTATTTAACTATGTTACTTTCTCAATCTTTTAAATTAAAAATCATTTAAATAATATATCAATCCAAATAACACTTAAATTGTTGCATTAATCTCCAAGTTAAAAAAAATTTGCAGTAAAATATATTATTTTCATTAAATTATACTATTTTATTCGCTTCCAATTATTTTTTTTAGATTATACTTTTGGCTATTACAATAATACAAAAATACCTGACCGATAATTGATAAGATATCGCTGACAGTACGATCAAAATCTGATCAGATGACAATTGATAACGCATATAGCACAGTGCTTATGATAAATTTGTATACTATTCTGATGCTGATATCGCTCATCGATATACTAATTGTACTGTATATTTCCACGGAAATTAGATTAACGCGTCTTAAAAAACAAAATTTACAAGTGATGTAAATTTTGATTTACAAGAGTAATTCTCTCACAATAATTTTGATGTATGATAGACAGTTTTCTTCAAACGATAACTTTTCTCTCTCAATTAATTCTCGAGAAACAGATTGATTGAATGATGAGAGAGGAAGAGATAGAAATAGAGATAGAAAGAGAGAAGTATCTTTCAATTCTTTTATTAATTCAGCTGGTCATTACTTCTTCAATTTAATCGCATGATTATTTATTTTCAAATCTTTTTATTGCATCTTTTTTTAATTTCGGTAAGATTTATTTTGTCCATTAAAAGCCGAAATGATTTATCGATTGCTGATATTCTCAATGAATTTCTTTTAATAGCTCTTGAATGATTTTATTTCTTTCATTTTCTTGAGACACTATTGTATTTGAATATGTTACAAAATTAAACTGAGAAAAACTTTTGATAGAAAATTTCATTCTTTGATCATATTGAAATATTGATTTTTATGAGACATTCAGAGAATTGCAACGTATTAAAATTTAGTGTCATTTCACTATATTTACGGTTGAAATGCACCAAAACATTTCTATGCAAAATATAATACTCTAAAGAAATATAAATTCTTATCCGGCTTCAACTTTAAATACTTAAGTTTAATTTCAGAGCTTCATATGGTGAAATGATGAAAATCTTTCTTTGCGTTTGCTTATTTTCTTTTTTGATTTCCTTTTTTTTCTTTGATTTTTTATCTCAATATTTTTCACACAATTATTGCAATAATAACAACAATCGATATATGCTTCCTAAAACAATAAATGAATAAGTTTGCATAAATTTAAGCATCAAATATTAAATTATCAAATAACTAATTCGCAGTGCATTTATTAGAGCAGAAGAATGTAAAAAACGATTTATAATTTAAATTTCAATTCGTTCATGGTTCGGATGTCTTCTCAATTCTATCATGAAATATTCTGCGCTCCTTTTTATAAAACATAACTCATCCTTCAAATGGCCTGATAAGTCATTTATGTCTAAGCCTAATAATTGTATTTGTCCAATTAGTTACTAACTTTATTTCAAATTTTCAATGAAAAATGCTCAATTAATTGAACATCAATTTGTCTTTTGTTTTTTTAAAAAAAGCAACAACCTTAAAACCTCTTAATTTAGACATCCAAACCAAAATTGAAATTACTTATAGACTAATTGCACTACCAATTTGAGAAATTTGCATAATTACTTTCTTAGCAAAATTTTAAACATGTATGCATAATTCTCTTATTTCTAAACAAAAAAAAAGGCGAAACAGTTGTTTGGCAATGCAATGAGTCTTTCAAAAGGCAGTGTTGAAAGTCAATTTTTCCTGAAGAAAGAAAAAAAATTGTAAAATTACTTTCAAGGTAATAGAAAAAGGATAGTGCTGAGAGAAATTTGCTTCAGCAAACAAAAAGAAAGAAGAAGATATTTCCGATTAATTTCTTTCTGATAAGATTTACTCATAAATTTCAAATTTCATCAGTCCTTCTAATTTTTTTTTTTAAGAATATGTTAAGTTTAAACTTTCTCCCCAATATATAGCATTTTTACATTTCAATTAACACTGAAATTAAATAAATGTGTACAAAATGAGTGCTTTTATTTTTTCTTCGGGGTAAAAAGCAAAATGTTTTTTCTTTCGAAATGCTGAAAATTTATACAAAAAAGAAAAAGTTGTTGGGAAAAAGAAACAATGAAATAGGAAGAATCAGTGCAATTGAAAGTGATTGATTGTTGGCATATGGAAAATAATAATCCTATATTTATATTTCAATAGGTTCCGATTTAGGCCTATGTAGGCCTTGGAAGGTATAATGTTGATACCTTCGACATCCAATCACACAGGCAGACAATAAAGCAGCAGTGGTACAGAGAAGTAAAATGATAAGGATTGTGATAACAATACGATTGATGCCATCAACAGTTCCTTGAATACGTCGTGTCGTATCATAATTATCATAAATCATTCCCAAAAAACCATTGATAAAAGCCTTCTGTTCCTCACGTGAATACGAATCAAAGCGTGACATAAGGGCACGCGCCTCTAAGCGTGATAAGGGCCCCGTGGTGATCTGTAAACATTAATTTTTGTAAATACATTCTCCTTTTTCCAAATTATTTTAGAATCTTTTACTCATATAATTTAAAATTTATTTAAAATTTTGCATCTGATAATATATGGAGCATTTTCGGAATAGAAGAAGAAGTAAGGATATTTACATTTGCGTGTTCACTATTTTCCATTTCCATATATGATCTTTACTTGTGTTTATTTTAAAATTAAAAATAACGATTTCATAAATCAGAAATTAAGCATTTTATCTTAGTAGAATTTGATCAAATTTAGCACAGCACTTCATATCCTGTACGTTCTTAACTTTATTTATGTAGTGAACAGTCTGGACACGAGGAACAAAATGGCCATACATTTATTGAGCTAAAATATAAATTAAAATTATGGGAATAATAATAATAATAATGAGAGAGTGTTTCTTTCAACTCAAAATTTTTCTTTTTTAAAAATAACTTCATTTGCTTTGAAATAAATCAATATAATTGAACTAAATAGTTGAACTAAGCTGCTTTATACATCAATGGAATAATAGTTTTAAGTGAGAATTAATATTTCAGTTTTGAAATGACTCATTCCTTCTTGCTTCACACAACTAATCACTCCTTCTATATATGATTGCTGTAGAAGAGTTTTTTATTTTATAAATGAAATCTTTATTAACTATTTCTTTATAATCAAATTAACGAAATAATTTCGTCTTTTGATAGCTAAAAAGTATTAATTAAATTTAATAATTTGTTAATTGAATTAGCTTTCAAGCTGAATGAAATGAGATAGTATAAACAATATTGAATTATCATCGACTTTGCTTCATTTGGGTTCGTCGGCATGATGAAACGAGAATGTTACTGTTGCATACTCATTTTTCAACAAAATATGCATAATGTCAGCCATACATTTATACCTTTTAATATGGTACTGATTAACTTATCAGTGTAAAGTAAGATGTAGAAATGAATAATTAATTTAAACGAAAGCTATGAAGATATCATAGATTTATTTTATTTTTAATATCGAAATTTCTTAGTTCGAGTATAAGAAATTTCATATTTTTTCGTTACGATAACGTAAATGCTAACAGATTCAGTTTCAAATTTTAGCAAAATTATTCCAATTCAATGTTATTTTCACTAAATTATGAATAATTCATCGCAGCTTGTCATTCCCGAAATTCTATCAAATTTTTTACGACAGAGAAATTAATTTTAACCAAAATAATTCTTAAGGTCGCTGAAGTCAAGCACAAATGGTTGTGGGAAAAAAAGCGCTACAGTCATTAGCTGAACTGTTATTTTTTTATCTAACAATGGAAAAGTCATCATATCAGTTCAATTATTCAGCAGAATTCACATCACTGTTAGATAAAATTAAAAATGAAGGAAATTTTCGAATTAAATTATTTTGATACTTCATTTATGCTTTTCAAAAATTTATCGCTTTATGACAGGCAAATGAGCTTTTGTTTAACGCATCTGTAAAAATGTTTCATTATGGCTTGGTAAAATAGCTCTCACTTCTTCAGGGTAATCTTTATTCAGCCAAGATAGCAACAAATAAATTTATGGAAGTTTGAAAAAAAGGAAAAAGTATTTCGGACTGTAACAGATAAATGAATGAGCGTTTTTTAAAAAGGAATGAATTATAATTTTTTTAGAAATTTAATGCAAATATTGACATCAAAGCAAACGAAATGAAAAGCGAAATTTTGAAAGCAGTTTAATCCAATAGAACTAACAAATGCTAATTGGATAAATAAATTTTGACAATAAGCCATCATCAATTCAGTCTGTAAGGCATACTTTTTTTTCATCAAAAACTTTAAGACCAACATCTAATAAGTCTAACGATGTCATGCATCTTTTTATAATCAATGAAAAAGAAATAAAGTTTTTAAATTGTTTTGCAAAAATATTGGGGAGGAAACACAAGCAACAAGAATCAGCTAAAAAAAGACTTTTCTCCTCAAAATATTTTATTACAAGGTTTATTTTTGTGTAGAACAGCTGAAATAAAAAAGCCTAGGCGAAAATTTCCAATTCTATCACTCATTTTTCTAGAAGTATTATTAAAATTGCCAAAAAAAGTTTCCAAAAGTAAAATTTGCCAATTATTATCTATAGCAGGATAGATGAAAAGGCTGATGTTAAAGGGACATCTTCAGGCTCATTTTCTGCTCAATGCAGTATAGAAAAATTAAACTTTTTTCTCGCTCATCGTCATCACTCTGAAGAGTTTATTTCGAGAAAATTTGAGTTAGTGAAGAACAGTTTGAAAATTGATTTCGAGTAAGAATGAATGAATCCTAAACATACAGTTTTTTCCTTTCAAATTACCAAAACTGAGCGAAGTAATGATTATTTCATGAAAGACCTATAAATATCATTTTGGAATTTTATAAATTAAGTTAAAGTCTTTAGGATTGCTGTTAGCCGACAAATATCATTGATTTATGTTTACTTCATAGAGTAAAAGAAAAGTATTGATTGACTCAGCTGTCATTTGATCTATTCAACTTTAAACTTCTCAGAGATAAGGTATCTTCACTAATTGTCATTTGATCTATTTAATTTTAAATCTTCTAAATTTAGGCTAAATTAGGCTATATTTTATAAAGTCATATGCAGATCGAAATTGAAAGTAGGTAAATTTTTGATAGGATAAGTCTGGTAATCATTATATTTCCTATGCCGATTACTTTTAAAATGATATGAACCTAAAAAACTTCTTAATGAATAACATACTTGAAAAAACTTTTGGGACTAAAATACAAATTTTGCTCAATTCGCCCACCCATCGTTGTCATCAGATTTCTATGTTTGTGATGTTCTAAAAGATTGTTTCAATTTTTAGAATTCATGAGATTTTTTATTGGCTGCTTAAAATTTTGTCAAATTTAAAAAAAAGCGGAAAGCTTTTCAGGGAATTGCTAAAAAATGTTTCATTCGGGAAAGAAGAAAAAAGATAAATGGTAAGAAATAGTTTTAAATTAAAGTTGAGATAAAAAATTTTTCGCCTACTCAGAAATCATTGTAAATTATCAAGATTTTATTATTTGATTTCGATTTGCAGGGAAAAATTTGCATAAATTTATTCCCAGAAAGTTGAATTAGTAAAAAAAGAAAAAAATTGGTTAAGACAGGAAGGAAAAGAGACAGACGAAGAAGAAAAAGGAAGCATAAAAGGGTAAATTGAAAAAAGTTTAAAAGAAATTCTATAAGAGAGATATTTAAGCAAAAATTTCAAATGAATAGATATTATTTCATAATTTCGACTTTCTTCCTTTTAATTTTTCATTGTAAAATCCCGTTTTAATTGCACGTTCTATCATAAAATGCACAACTGACAAGAGTTAGGCAAATAAATTAAAGCATCACAGAATGTATTCGTAGAAATTTCTAGTAAAAAAGAATTGATAGATATTAACTGTTAAAGCATAAAAGAAACATTGAATGATTGAATGGATCAGATCAAAAATGCTCAATTGTCATTTTTCATGAATTCCAATTATGATCATTCGTATCACAATTAAAAGTTCAACCAGTAAAAGTGTGAGTGATCTCGACAAATAAACAAATAAATATTATCAAGTAGGAATGATACTGAAAGTTGTTGCCCGTTTCTAATATTTCAAATGATCTCATTGAGGTAATTTGTAAATTTTAGGAGAAAGAAGCTCGAATTATACTCTCACAAGATAAATAATTAGTGGGAAATCCATCTAAATGTGCTGTAATGTATTGGTTTATTTCGCAATTAAAAAATTTTTTTTTTTTTTGGAAGGAAAAGATAGGAAGGAACTATTTGCGCTTCCGGCAAATCTTAAAGCATTACATTTTGGCATCAGACGAATACAAATTGAATTGCATTTTAGGAAAAAGCATTTATCAATGGGTGGCACTTTTGTCAACAAATTATTTCTCTCTTTCTTTTCTCATTTTAAGGAAAATGTATGAAAGGAAAAGATGCATTCCGTAATCATTGGGCAATTTTATATGTGGTGAAAAACAAAATAAATTGCATTTTGTCCGGAAATATTCAAATTTTGTTTTAGGAAAGGATTTAAGAAATGATTGGCTTGAAAAAAAATTGAAATTCTTAACTCAAAATCAATGTTATTTTTTGATGTAATACATCAGTTAACTTATTCAACCTTCCTCATTTCCTCGAAAGAGCTGTTGTTATTGGAATCTTTTAGAAAAAGTAATTTAATTTTAAAATATTAAAACTTGTTATTGCTTAACTCAGTAACATTATTCAAAATAGAATGGTAAATTTTATAATTCGCACAGCAGTTTTCTTTCTTTTTTCAAAGGAAGAAATTGCTAACAAAATATGTTCCAACAATTTGCATATTAAAATTTAAAAATGGAACCTTTTATTTATAAAATACTTTCGCAAGTTTCATATTTTAAATAATCATTTCACTCTTATAAATGCGAAAATGTAAAATTGCACTTCAAATATGTGAACAATGATGAGAGACTGAAAATTTGAAGGAGATTGCAGATAATTAAAAATGAAAATGTAAAAAATGAATGATATTTTTGTCTTGAAAAGCTTGAAGTACCTGTTGATTGCTAATAAAATTTGTTGAAATAATTTTTCTAATACAAAATTTTCCTCTTCTCTCACCCTCTTTATGTTAATTAAAGCATAAAAAAGAGTTATAATGATAAAATTTATAAAAGTTAGCTTAGATAATGAATAAAACTTATTAAAAAGCTTTTTTTTAAAGATTCCTTGACATTATTTGTTTAAATATCAAATAATGAAGAATTATGCACAAAGTCATTCATATTGCAACAAATGATATTAAAATTTGAAATTGATATCATATCAGTCAATGAATGGTTCGAACATATAAAACGGATAAGGTTGTAATGGCTAAGAAGAGTTAATATTAAAAGTTGAATGATTTAGAAAAGAATCTTGAAAATTGAAATGGATTGAGATAGATTGAAAATGATGAAATTTGAAGAGGATCGAGATATCTCAAATATTTACAACCTTTCTTAAAAAAGAATGCAGCTTGAGGAGTGCGAATCAGTGAATGTGGAACAACCCGTTTATTCGGTATGCAATTTTCAGCGATTTCGAATGATGCGTTTGAGAGTGGAAAGTTTAACGTTGAATATCGATAATATTTCCAGCTAACACTCCAAGGAAATGAATAATC